CTGGGCAAGCCTGCTTCGCCGGCCCCCGGGAGAGCCTCAGCCGCCGCCGCTGCTGCGTCCCCCTCGGGCCCCCCGCGGGCTTCCTGCTGCCCCCCACGGCTGAGCTGGACCCTTCTCGCGGGCTGCTGCTGCTGGGCAGCCCGCTTTGCCCCGTGCCCGCTGCCGCTGTCAGCTGGAGGAGGAGGAGGGCTACCTTTGGAGGCAAAGAAAGCCCTTCTGTTGCCTTGCTGTTGTCCTCGCGGTGATGACGCGTGGTGATGACGTCGCGACTTTAGCGACGCGATTTAATCTCCGCTATTTTGCGTAGCGCGGTTTTGTCGTGCCACGGAAATATTTAGAGGAGGCGGAGTGTAATTATCAGAAGAAAGCGGGAAACAGATGATGATCGCCTAAATAAAAGAAGCTGTGTGCATGGTGTGGATTAATTGATGGTGGAAAATGAACGAAGCAAAATAATGCCACATTATTATTTTTTTCTTGGATTTTCAGGGCTAGTGGATAATAATGATCATGCACAGTATCAAGATTAATAGTAGAATGGGGAAAGAAACATTTAGAGGACCTCATGCCATAATTCTGCTATTCATTATGAAACCTTATCATAGTCCATGACACCCCTGCCTATTTTGATGCTCCTTATTTGCTTTCAGGATTAAGTGATCCGTACTGCCTCCTAGGGATAGAAAGAAAAAAACAGGGCTCTTCTTCCCATGGTTCTCATCAGCAGAACAAAAGGCGAGCTAAGGGTGTGGTGAAGAACCTGCTGCCAGAGGACCAAACCCATCGCACGCAAGTCAAACATCAGACATTAAATCCAGTGTGGGATGAAACCTTCATTCTGTACGTCTCATCTCTTTGCCATATTTAATTTGCATTGGCCTTAATAGGATATTGGACTTGTTAGAAAATCAAACTTAAAGATAATTTTAGGGCTAGAAAATGATGGTTTTCAGCAACCTAGTTTATATTCTAGATCCATGATGGTGAACTTTTGGCACGTGTGCCTGAAGTGGCACATGGGGCCATTTCGCCTGGCACGTGTGGCATTGCCTGTTCCTTTTCCAGGTTTCTGGTGTGTATGTGTGCACGACCATCAGCTGGCTTCATGCATGTGGCAGTGCCAGACTGGAAGAGCGGGTCTTCCATTTTCTGGCATAGGCATGTGTGCCAGCCAGCTGGTTGTCACATGCGCATGCACGCTAGTTTCCGGAAGGCTAGTTGGCTGGCATGTGTGTACGCGCCGGAAACCGGAAATCCATTTTCCAGCATGCGCATGCCCCCTGGGCAGCTCCTCTTCCGGGTTGCAGCCCTGACGAGTGCACACACACGCTCCTCTTCCGGCACTCAGTGCTGAAAAGGTTCGCCATAACTACTAGAAAATGTAATACTATATCCAGAAAAAGCTCTTGGTTGGCTGTTGGGGGAGAAAATAGCTGAGAGAGATAAACAGATTGAAGCTGAAGACCCAGGAAGAGTTTACCATAAGGCAAATAATATCTGACAGCTTTCTTTACAGCCAAGGCCTGAGAGAAGATAGGATTACAGTAGAGATATTGGAAAGGTGAAATCACAATGCTAGAGCTCTTCCTGGATAATAGCCATTGATTTTAAAGATGCAATATGGGAATGGCCTGAGAGCCTTCAGGATCAGAGTTTTCAATCTTGGCAACTTTAACTTCCCCATGCTGGCTGGGGAATTCTGAGAATTGAGGTCCCTGTATCTTAAAGTTTCCATGGTTAAAAAATATTGCTCCAGATGAATTGGACAATAGCTTCACTTTCTGGGAGTCACAATTTAAGGTATCTAGAAAATGTAGTTTGGGGAAGTTTTGTATGTTTGTTTTTTAAGTCGAGCTGCTCCGTTGTCTAATCTTTTATTTCTGTCATTAGCTATGGAAGGGAATGATGGATTGACTACATGGTTCTCATTCATTCTTGTACATACAATTAGGTTCATAGTTGCCATCTCTACATGCCTATTCATCAACTACCGTGTTTTTTGGCGTATAAGACGCACCTTTTTCCCTCAAAAAAAGAGGGAAATCTGAGTGCATCTTATACACTGAATACAGCATTTTTGACCTCCCAAAACCCTGCCCCCTTCACCAAAATGGCCATGCATAGCCTTTAGGAGGCTTCCAGAGTGCTCCTGTGGACTGGGGAGGGCAGAAATGANAGAAAGAAAGAAAGAAAGAAAGAAAGAAAGAAAGAAAGAAAGAAAGAAAGAAAGAAAGAAAGAAAGAAAGAAATTATGACATACTGAACATGGAATCACATCACAGGACAATCCACAGATAAGTCCTAACTTTTGGAGAAAAGACATGACACCGGATCCACCTTCTGATGCCACAATCCATATAGATTTCCTTTTTTGCTTCTTCCCTCCACCCTTCTGCCTGCTTATCTATACTTCCAGACAATATGTAAAAATCTAATGTATTCAAGGAGTTCTGTATGCACATTGTGCACATTTTTTAAAATCTCTGTGACAACAATGATGTGAGGAAGGCAGGCTAGAAAAGAGAGCTTGTTCAAAGTCATCAAGACCAGAGTCTGAACCCACTTCATTACTCAGACTGGTTTAATTTCAGAAGTTAATCTGCAGATCCTGATGTTCATCACCGTGTTTTTCTTAATGTGAAAATAGAAGAGAATTAGAACCTGTGTAAAGTATTTGGGACCGTAGAGTACTAGGGACAGAGTGGCTCAGTGGCTAAGACGTTGTGCTTGTTGATCAGAAAGGTTGGAAGTTTGATGGTTCGATTCCCTAGTGCCGTGTAATGGAGTGAGCTCCCGTTACGTGTCCCAGCTTCTGCCAACCTAGCAGTTCGAAAGCATGTAAAAATGTAAGTAGAAAAACAGGAACCACCTTTGGTGGGATGGTAGCAGCGTTCCGTGGGCCTTCGGCGTTTAGTCATTCTGGCCACATGACCACAGAGACTTCTTCGGACAGCGCTGGCTCTTCAGCTTTGATGAGCACCTCCCCCTAGAGTTGGGAACACCTAGCACATAAAGTACTTAAGGATTCGGAATGAAGACAAATGAGTTTCAATAATCTCATATATGTTTAATCAGAATCAACCCCACTCTGTTTAGTGAATTCCAATCCTTAGGTAACTTTGCATTATTCTGTAATTGAGCCTGCATTTTATGCATCCCTCTGTAAAAGCAAGTGAACCAAGGAGAGGGTTAACACAGAGAATTGAATTATAACACTCCTATACTTTCCTAGGTCAGGTATGAGCATGCCTATTTGCGTGGGGTGCCACCCAGTGTTGTAAACTTTCACTGCACATTTCTTTTAGTCTTCTATTAGAATAGAATTCTTTATTGGCCAAGTGTGATTGGACACACAAGGAATTTGTCTCTGTTGCATATGCTCCCAGTGTGCATAAAAAGACAAGATACATTCATCTAGAATCATAAGATACAACACCGCATAAGGTATTAACACCGTCGTTGTGGTGTTTGGAGCTACTCTTGGCAACCAACTTTCCTCTAAAGGCATTATTTTAGAAACGATCATCCTTTCCTTCATTATTTCCACACAATTAATAAGCATCAAATAGCAGGGGTAAAAATACGCAGACAGCCTTGATTTTGTAAAATTCTACAGGGACCAACCCTTTGGAGCAACTGATAGTTTCCTTTTTTTTTCTGTTTAGCAATGAGAATGTATGTATATCGGGTCTCCTTGGCTTCCTTTGGGTACAGCATAGATCTAGCACTGTAAGGACTTTGGCATCTACTGCTTATTTCAACAGTTACGGTTCTTCATCAGGATGGAGATACAATCCTGAACTCATTCTGAAATAGGAAATGGAGACCCCCTAAATGATTGATGGATCTTAACCTTGTTTTTCCTTGATTATTTTCCCATGATTAAAACTCTCTTTTACAACCCGGTAATCCCTTAATTCGGGGTATAGTTGGAGCAACTGGGTGAAGCTGAGCATTTACTTGCCGGATGCCCTTCTTGATGCCTACACAGAGCTCACAGCAGATATTTTATATTTGCGTCCTAGGAGAAAAATGTTTGCCGCTACCAGGGAATGAACTTTCAACCTTCCGAGTGGGAAGTGATCGTCTTCGCCAACAGGCCACCACGCCTCTCTTTCCCATGATTACTCTACTACGTTTATTGTTAACTGGGTAGAAGGTCCTGAAATGATAATATGTTATAGATTTTTTAATAATGATTTTTAAAAGTAGTTATTTTATCTACAAAACTCTGTTTACAATTATGTGTGTGGAGTCCTTGATGCTCTCTGAGCTTATTTGTTTGCTTGAAGATATTTCAGTATCCAACTAGAGATAGTTATCGGTGAATAATGAAATGTGAACAAGCAAACATTCAAACCTGAAGAGCACCAAGGACTCCACAGTTCAATTCTCTCTCTCTCTCTCTCTCTCTCTCTCTCTCTCTCTCTCTTCCCCCCCCGGTCCCCAGGAGCAGTCTATAAGCTTCCTAAAGGCTATGCATGTCCTTTTTTTGGCAAAAAACAGGCCTGTTTTTGCGAAAAATGGGCCATTTTTGGGAGGTCTGCAGAGTGCAAAAACGTTTTTTTTTTAATTGCCTCTTCAAAATCTTGGTGCATCTTATACTCAAAAAAATACGGTAGTTCTATCCAGATCTACTTTTCTTATCACTTAGCAGAAAAAGATCCTGATATACATATGTATGCCAATGTAGTTCTTTTACATTGGCTCAGTGAATGGATAATTATTCCTGCTGGCATGTGAGAGTGAGTGGGTCTAACTCCATCTTACCTCTCCATGCAGGCAAGGGGATTGGGTACACCTTCTCACTCCAATGTTCCCTTGCATTAGTTATGTTTTTTTAACGGTTTCTTCCAGGGAGTTTGAAGATGTAGAAAATGCCGAATTCCAGCTAGATATGTGGTAAGCAGAAACTACTGAATTTCATTGTATCTCATTAAAATTTGAAAACAAGTGTTCCAAAGGAAGTCAGAAAGGAGATAGATTCATTAGGCAAACACCGCTCAATGTAAAGAGGGGGTAGCAGCAGATCCCTTAGGAATGACCAGAGTGGAGCATTTGCTGCCTGAGTTGCTTTCCAGTGCATGTGTGCACCAGTGGTGGGATTCACTTAACTTTGCTACCGGTTTGCAAATGTGAGTGCGCTTGTGAACGTGCATGCACAGAAGGTTGCCCATTATGTCGGGGTGGATGGGCGGAGCTTCCAGAAGCTGCCACTACCGGTTCGCCCAAACTGGTAAGAACCGGCTGAATACTGTAATTGTGGTGTGCTCCCACAAGCCTATGGCCACAGTTGGTGAAGGGGTTGGAAAGGATTCTAGCAGCCAGGCTCTGCCTTCTTTTCTCAACTGGTTTAACGATTTGGACAAGATAAAAAATCTATAAACATAGTTTTAAGTTCACAGTGACGGGTTTTATATTTCATCCTGTAGCAGACTCTAAGCAAAACAATGTAGCTCCCTCCAACTGTCCATCATCTCCCCCCCCAAAAAATGCTTAACAGGAATAAATCCTTTTCTAAGTGGAACTTCGCACTATATTTCTTTCATGCTACAACTAAAATAAGGAAAAAGTAGTACGGAACTACTTTTGCGCCTAGATGAACATTTAATATTCCTGGAGGCTAATGGCCATAAAATGAGAGAGACCATTCCAGAAATAAGTGGGGCAACGGTTGTGAAGGAGGGGGCTCTTTTTATTTTTCTGTTATGTCAACTATAGTTTGTTTCCCCATCTGAAAATATCAAAGAAAACCGTGCTGTCGGTTTTCAAAAATTACTCAGAAGAAGATCTAAGGGCGTCAAAAAGGGGTAGGGAATTCAGGGGCTGCAAATTGTTCAACTTCAAACATCTTTGAGGGGTTGGAGCCTCCTGTAAATAAGCAAAATAACAGGTTGGAGCTCTCCTCTCCACTATTAGAAGAATTGCCAGCTTGGGAGCAGATCATTTTGGAGAAGGTATATACCGTATCTAGGTGGCTTCTGAAAGTCAACCCCCACTTGATGGCACATACTGTAATCAGTTAATCAATCAATTGCTCTTCTTGCTTTGATTCCTTTTCTTTCTATTTCCTGGAGGTCTTGAAAAGGAGCATCAAGGCATATTTTTATTTGCTTTCTTCTAGGGATTTTGATGAGGTTGAACCTGTACGGCACAAACTGGAAGAACTGAGTGACCTTCGTGGCCTGAAAAGGTTTGGGCTGATTATCAGCCTTTTGTATATAAAATTCTGTTAATTACATAACTCAGCTGATAAGACTAAACAAAATATTTAAATAAGGCAGCACATTCTTTTTCACTTTGGTACATGAGAAATGTTCTCTCATCTTTGTCCTTGTTTTGCTTTTTCCTACTCAGAATTCTTAAAGACGCTAGGAAAAATAAAGGACAGGATGATTTCCTGGGGAATGTAGTCATTCATCTGCAGGTAAGGAAGGGAATAGCATGTTGCCAGAATAATGCTGGGACACACGGATGGATGGACAGACGGATGGACGGATACACACACAAACCACCTTGATCTTGAGCAGATTAGTCTTTCTTTAGGTGTGGCCTATCTTCTCCACTTAGACAGGAGCATAAATGCCATTAAATAAAAAGGTTAACTGAAATTTCAAATGAACCTTTTATGTGACTATGAAAGAACTTGGTAACAGAATATGTTGCCTTGCTCTAAGTCAGGGGTGTCCAAACTTGGGAACTTTAAGACTTGTGGACTTCAACTCCTAGAATTCCCCAGCCAGCATGAGTTGAAGTCCACAAGTCTTAAAGTTCCCAAGTTTGGACACCCCTACTCTAAGTAAATCTGAGATTTCCTTTTCAAACACTAGACCTAATGAAAATGCTGTAAGAGAACTATAGATTTTTCTGGAATAATCAGAAAAATAATAAAAAGGCCTATTCTGCAGGCGTCTGCATGAATTTCTATTGTGGTCTTTGAGTAGAAGGCCAGGGTTTATGAGAACTTGACTGGCTCTATAAAGATCTGTAGCTATGCCAGCTACAAATTAATTCAAGAACATATTGATCTTTCCTAGACAGTTGCCATACAAATATCTTGGATTCCAGGTCTCACAGTTCCTAGCTAGCATCAGGATTCTGGAGTTGGTTCAATATATCTGGAGTGAATCAACCATTAGCATAACTGAGAGAGAGAAAAAAATGTTCCCGTGAAGCCATTAATTATTGCACTGAAATATAATTACAGTACAATGAGATAAGATAGGTGGATCCATTTGACCACTTTCTCTTGCTTGCCCAATTTTCCAATTTCTCCGTTAATTGAGACACTACATTTCTATGATGAAAGTAGAGCCATTCCCTGGGCATGTAGTGGGAATGGAGAAACAGCACTTTCAAAAGTGATGTGGTTCATTACTTCCGAGCTAAGGCTTTTCACCTCGCTTGTGTAGGACCTGCATTGTCGGGAGGATCGCTGGTACAGGCTGGAACCTCGCACGGATACTTACCCCAACCGAGGGCACTGCCACCTGCAGTTTTTTTTGGTACACAAGAAGGTAGGGATAAGAGGAATCCATTTCTCATTGGGTACTTTATAAATTCTGATTTGAACAGTTTTGATTCATTTAACCTTTTAAGACCCATTCAATATAATTGCTGCAATCTTTGAGACAAAGCTGTCCTACCACTGAGATCTTTTTCTCTTGTGGTGATCTGGGTGGGAAGAAGGTCTTCTTCCCTTCTTCACAAAGGTAGAAGACAGTCAGATGTTCTAATTGGTGTTGTGTGTTACATTTTATGACTTTAAGAGCATATTAAAACTGTATGGATGAAAGGTTGACATGGATTTGTATCAGTGGTGGGATTCAATTTTTTTTACTCTGGTCATGGCTTGGTGGGCGTTTTGTGGCTTGGTGGGCATGGCAGGGGAAAGATACTGTCAAATGTCCATTCCCTCCCCACTCCAGAGGAAGGATACTGTAAAAACTCAATTTCCTCCTGATCAGTTGGGACTCGGGAAGGAAGAGAATAGATGGGGACGGGGCCAGTCAAAGGTGCTAAAGTACTCCGAAGTACTCAAAATTTCCACTACCGGTTCTCCAGAACTGGTCAGAATCTGCTGAATACCACCTCTGGTTTGTATCTTGCTTTAGCTTGTGTTTTGTAAAAAGATAAATATAATAAATCTTACACTAATACTTCTATTGTTAGAATGTTAGCATCCCATTTTTATAATTGTGAACATGTATGCATATGTAAGGATTAAACCTGTTGGCAGAAATTCTAATATCCTCTGAAAACTGGATCAGTACATATATATATATATATATATATACATATTATTTTAGAGAGCTACTTCAGCCAGCAAGACCCAGACAAGTTACAAAGTTCATCGGCAACTTCTTCAGCAGATTGTTTCATATGAGATTCTTCAATACCAGGTAACTAGATAAACAAACTGATAAGTGGATCATGACAGAGTGACATATGTTCAGTTGTTCTCTGGAAAATAATTGGATTCTATATTGAAATCAGTTCAGCTGACCTGTTTGCTATTTTCAACTCTTCTCTGAAGTCAAGATGCAAATTTGGTTTGGAGCACAAGCTCTTCCCCCAGTTGAAATCTCAGAAGATTAATGGCAAAATTTCAGGGCTGTAAACTGATTCAAATATCTAAAAGAAACTTTACTCTGAGGTGATGAAGTTGTATGCATTCCATGGATGACCAATTGAAAATGCTTAGGTAAATGGGAATTGCATTTAACTAAGTTTCAGAAGAAAGGAAGACCTGAACATAATACAGGTAATTGTTATTTGCAAAACTGTGAAACAATTGGATATGCTGCATTTCCCCTCCCCCCCTCCCGCATCTGAGAGCATAGAGAGCCATTCATTGTTCTCTTTCACTGCAGGCTGGCAGCACTTCCTGGGATGGAGAGTTAAGCAAACATGCCGGTACTATCCTGTATCTACATGCTACTCAGAAAGACATTTCAGATTTCCACCAAGACTTGGCGTAAATATCTCCTGCATGCTTCCGCTCAAGGCAACATTCTGGAAACCAAAAGTTCCTGGCACTTTCTGTCCCTCTTTTTTAAAAAAAGTTGTGAAGGTTCTTTTCTATTGCCTGAGAGGGTTGTAATTTTATTAAAATTAGGCAGGCATGCTATCCCTAGAATTCCATTCATGAATTCAATAATTTTGACTTTTCTTTTTCAACTGGGATTTCCTTCATTCATTACTACATCTTGCCTATTGAATGTACATATGTGATTCCCACAATAGACTTTGCCAAGAACTGCATATTACAATTTCTGCTGGTTTTAATTTATCTTTCTGCCGTATGCATGTAAACCAATAAATGTTTCCCAGCAAACTGGCAAAACCAGCCAATTTGACTACATACCTAATGTACATAGTTTAGTTAGGTTACTTAATGTGAGGTGGTTTGTTTGTTTTTCTTTTTTGCTTCTAATTATACTTTTTGCAGGTTTTTCTTCTGGCGTTTAATGCTGCTTTCCTTAACATAGGCACTGGCTGGCTTACAGCAAGCTGTATCAGTTCTTGGAGTTCAACAGCAGCTGCCTGCTCCATCAGATTACCAGCATAGAGTATCAGTGGATTCAAGGTCGATTACAATCTGAGCAGGTAAGAAAGGAAGAGCTGTCGAACTATAGGGTTGGTGGAAGATTCTGGTTCAGCTAAAGAAATTTTCGGTTCCAACATCAGACGCTTATCCATTAGGTGGGTTGTATAGGGATACGGTGGTTCAGTGGCTAAGACACTGAGCTTGTGAATCAGAAAGGTTGGCAGTTCAGCTCGAATCCCTAGCACCACATAATGGAGTGAGCTCCCGTTACTTGTCCCAGCTTCTGCCAACCTAGCAGTTTGAAAGCATATAAAAATGCAGGTAGAAAAAATAGGAACCACTTTTGGTGGGAAGGTAACAACATTCCTTGTGCCTTCAGTGTTTAGTCATGCTGGACACATGAACACGGAGACATCTTCTAACAGCGCTGGCGCTTCGACACCGCCCCCTAGAGTCGGGAACGACTAGCACATATGTGCGAGGGAAACCTTTACGTATAGTTTTACAATGCCTATCCGATAAAGAGGATTGAAATATGTTTCTCTTAGCATAATGTTTAGTAGATCATGATCTTGAAATTATCCAGATATTACCGAGCAGGACTAAGTCTTTTTACATCTATGGCATGTTGATTACTTCCTGCAGACAGCTGAATTGGAAGACTCTTTTCAGTCCTTACTGAACTATGGGATTTCTCTTCTTCAAAGGTTCCGGATCGTCTTCCCACTCTCCTCACCCAAATCTACACAGAGGCTGCAGTCACTGCTCAGGTGAGCTATCAGAAACCTTCTGGGATGCACATAGTCAAAAGAAAAACTACCAACATTTTTCAAGCATGGGTATTCTCTCAATAGCATTACTGTTTAATTAAGGGGACATAAATCATGAATCATTCAATATACTGATTCTACATTTCCTTCACATAACACCTAAGAATTTGTAAGCCTAATAGATGCTTTCATGAACCAAAGCTTATAGTTTATGCCATAATTCACCCAAATAGCACCAAGAGACAGAAATGTATCTGTCCCTTGGCACCTGTCAAGACTCCTGCAGGGGCTATTTCTTTTTGTATTAATGGAAAGAGTGAACAGAAAGCAAACATGAAACAAAAAAGCGTCAATCGTATTTGTCTGGATTTTGATATGCTATGCAAGATCAGTTCTAAACCTCCAGTCATATTAGCAGTTTCCCCAATGAATTTCCCTGTCTTGTCTAAATGAAGGTCAGTGTCAGCTTTTCTTCATTCAATAATCAGGAAAGAAAACCACAGGACTCTATTTGTTGAAATCAAGTGTACTTTTACTAATTATAAATGAATAGATGCGAAGCTAGGCTAAATCTGGTTAATTAGGCGCAAAAGCGAATAATATATTGAATAATCCATTCCCCTCCCCTTGGCATCCCATGCACAGTCCAATCATAATTCTCCCAAATGTCAGGTGTGAGATAATGTTGAAAGGCATCACCAGGATGGAATGCTGGACCGTTGGCCTTGGCGGGAAACACTCCTCCTCCACATGCGCAGTAAGGTGGTCAGCTCAAAGTCTAGAAACTTCCTCCAGCACAACAATGATTCCCCCCCCCCAAATACCATGCCCCCCCTCCCTGTTTCAATGGCAGCTGAAGCAGTAGCAAAGCGGAGGCAAAGTGGAGGCTGACAGTCAGGTTTGTTGAACTCTGTCTTCCAAGAACCACTTTAAAATATGTGTTTGACGGTTCTGCCAGTTCTGTGAGACCAGAAGATGAAAAGATGAAGAGGCTGAGTTCTCCTTGAGCATAAAAAGTATCAGATATAGAGTGATGCCTGAAGCACGTAAGAAGCAGAGCAAAAATCTCTCCACAGCACTTGCTGAAAGTTTTTCCTACAGAAAAAATGAGACCTATTATAATGATGTAAACTACAGGGAAGAGGGAATGGCCTTGAAGGACCAGAGGAAGAACTGCAATGAGGCAGGCAATGGTCAGATAAGAGAGTCTTGAGCCCAGATGATGAAAATAACTTGAGAAAATCTCTCAGATAAACCCGTCCCAGTTTACACAAAGATAAAGAAAGGGAGGGAGGAACTACAGCCAGATTTTCAAGATTCCGTTACTATAGTTATTACAATAAAAGTAGTCCTGGCCTACATGTCATTAGTTTCTTAGTTTGGTCTATGTTGTAAGGGCTGACAAATACTGATCTCCATGTTCTTGGAAATCAGGCTTCTGTTTGATCTCTTTATAGTATATCCTAAAGAGAGGGATTGAACAGCAATGTTGGGGTCAATAGGAACATAGGAAGCTGCTTTATAGGGGGACTGTTCTATGCTGTTTATCAACAAATGTTGCGGTCTTCAGATGTCTTTCTTCTCAGCTCTTCTTACAGTTCTCAGTGAATGGATTCAGAGTCTTTGCATTTGAGACTGATTAAAAGAAAAGGGGTGGCATCTTTTGCATGGAAAAGAGACTTTTCTCTGAATTGCATTGGATTTCAGCCATGATTTTTCATCTTCACAGGGTTTTGGTCCAAATGTGTAAAATGAAAGCCTTCAAAGAACTTTGTACTTCGACTCCTGTTCTTGAAGAAATGGTAATGGAGGCACTTAAGGTACAAAGCCATCTTGTTATCTTTGGGATGTCTTTTCTCAGGCTTACAGTTTTGTTTTTAATGCTTTTTGAAATCTTGAAGGGAATAATGGTGCATAAGCACACCAGCCTGCCTACCATCCCTGTCCTAATTTTCCCTTGTATTCGTATTTATTTCATGTATTCATAATCATGTCTATACTTGTATCTGTTATGCTTGACAAAATAAATAAAAAAACAAAAATAAAAAATAGAAGTTTTAGTTTAGTTTCCTTGTCAAAATTCACCACCTGGACTTACACACAGTCCTCTTTATGGAGAAATGCACAGTTCTATTTTTCTTCAGCTACGGATGATGTTTCACAGAATGCTCTGAAGTTCTAACTTGGATCTCAGGCCCTCTACTCTTGGACCTCTGCTAAATTATATTATATTATATATATACACACACATACACATACAGATAAGACCAATGTCTGCCTTAATGTGTGCATAGGTTTTAATATGCAGAGAAGCAACTTATTCTCTTGCCTATTTTCTCAGACTGGAACAGCAGAGTGGTTTTACATGAAGAAGCAGCACTTGAAGCCAATGGTAAAGGTATGTTACATTCTAGCAAAGTTTATGTTAGAATCTTCCAGGGGTTGTTGAATTGTGTTTCCTATTGATTCTAGAAGGGCATATCCTTAGCATTTGCAAAACATCTGCTACCCCAGCCAGGATAAAAATCCTCCTGTATTATATCTTGTATCTGTGCAATCATACTAATCTATACAACAATTTTGAATAAAGACCACAACGACATTTTCCTCCCAAACACACAGATATGACTGCTGTAGCTTGACTTTAGATAAGGAATTTACGTTTGTCAAAATCAGGACAGAACTGGTTGTGTCCCTCTGATAAATCCACGTGAGCATGTATTATCATGAGCATGCAACTATATAGATCTTTCCTAGAACAATGAAGCATACTTAATAGTCCTAAACCATATTCTCACCAAAAAAAAAAGGTGTGGGGGAAACGTAGCTGTTTTAACAGTTGGTTGGAAAGCAACTCTGCAGAGTACAGTGGGACCTCTGGTGCCAACTGTAATCCATTCCAGGACTTCGGTCGGTACCTGATTTGTTCGTGACCAGAAGCAAGACTGTGCATGTGTGCGTGGAAAGGGAAATCGCCACAGCAGGGAAAATCGCCACGGCTGGGTTTATTCAGCACTGGAGGATGTGTCGTGATCTGCAACATTTAGTGGATTTTTTGGTTGGCACCCAAATTGTTTGTGGTCTGAGCCGTTCAGGACCTGAAGTCCCACTGTAAATGATAGAAGCTTTATTTTACAGCACTGTGTTACAAAAGAATAAAGATTTAGATTTAGATTTAGATTTTAGATTTTATTAACATTTGTAGGCCGCCCTTTTCCCTGAGGGGACTCAGGGCGGCTCACATAAAATCAGGGA